ACTCTATTTCGCGATAAAAATTTGATTTTAATTATTCGAACAAACACTGACTCTACTTTTACAACTGTATACCGGACAGTTGAAATATCAAAACCCGACACACGTCTTACCTRTGAACAAAAAAAAGAAAAATGAAACGATTAGAATCATTGTTATCATTTAAAAATCATATAAAATTATTATTGAAGAAATGTTTAATAGAAAAGTTAACTTACCTTTTCATCTTTTTAGATGATGCCCGACAGGTATCCCACCTTTAAAGATGACGATGCTGTAGACGGTTCAAACGACGRAGAAACTTTACGTGTTTCTTATCGCGAACACGGCACTGACTCTACTTCACGATTCAATTTTACTTTAATTAATCGAACAAACACTGACTCTAATTTTTATTAACTGCATTGCACGCAGTCGAAAAATTCAAACACTTACACTGCTTACCCTTCTGAAATAAGAAAAAAGTACAAAACAATTAGAATCATTGTTATCATTTCAAAATTATAACTAATTATTCAATTAAATGTTTAATATCAAAATTCATTTACCTTCTATCTTCAGTGATGAATGCCCGATGGGTCTCCTACCCTTAGGATGACGATGCGCCGCGTTTCAATCGAATAAAAGAAACTTTCGGAGTTTCTTTACCCGAACAAAACCGAMATTTTGATATACGGCGAACAAACACTGACTCTAATTCGCGATTTTATTGAACGATGCAAGCAAACGATCCCTTCATTGCCAACACGCACGATTGCAATGGTACTCTGAAACAGAAAAATGAAAAAGAACTATTAATATCATCGTCATAATATAAAATCACTTTGAAATTACCATCAAAATGTTTGATAGAAAAATTATACTTACTTGTAGTCTTCTGTGATGAATGCCCGATGGGTCTCCTACCCTTAAGATGACGTTGACCAGTAGACGGTAACGAAAATAAAAAACTATAATAAAGTTTTTTATTACACGCGAACACGAACGCGATCGCGACCGAGACGTGTTTTAAACCGACCGCACTACACGTCAAAAAATCGACTGAAAGAATGTACATGATTAAAGTTACTACAAAATAAATCGAGTATTATTATGTGAAATATAATATAAAGGTGAATATTTAAGGGAAAACAATGAGAGGAATGTGAATATGATATTAATTAGGAAAATGAAAGAAACCAATTATTATTATAATATTAATGATAAGCGGTCTTTAGCTAGATTTCACTTGCCATGGAATGTAAAACATATCAAAATATGTTAAACATTACATGGAAAGTAAAATACCATTGCCCGGGTCTAACCACGAGGAGGTAACCGCTTCTGAAGACCCAAGAGGGATGTGCATCCTAAAGATGCTCACATCCGAATATAATTCAAAGGAATGAATCTAACTCTTAGGCCCCACCATAAGAGAACCATCCAAAAAATCGTTAAAATTATTATCGAAAATACCAGAGAAAAATTTCAATACTAAAAAATACAAAATGAGATAAACAAGATGTGTGTAATCTGAAAAGAAATTCAATAAAATCATCGATGATACTTAAAACTAACACACCTTAGAATAACTTCAACTTATAGAAATACAATCTATATACATTTATATACATAATTTTCAATCTCCATCAAATAAAGTATAATAATTAAAAAGAGTATACAATTATAAGTTGTACCATGGAAWCTATAAATAAAGAAAATACATTAAAAATAATTATCAAACACGTTCGATGCTAAAAGGAGAAGTATATAAAGATGCAAATTTTCATTTTATTTATAGAAATAATTAATTTATACTATCCCATATTACCAAGTTCACTTCTTGTTCTTTTATGGTCCACCTTTGGTCCACCTTTGGTCCTCCTTTGGTCTTCCTTTGGTCCACCTGTCGTCGTCTCTTTACCATAGTCCAATCTGCAACAGAAAACAAACGGATAAAAAAGAGTTAAAAAATAAAAGGGAAAGGAAAAAGGGGGGATAGGTATAACTTTTAAAGCAGAACTTTTCACGATTTTTTTTTTAAGTGGTTTCCCCCCGATTGGACTAGTCCACTGACTCTAAATTTAGGAGAAACCTACACTAAATGTTCAGTCCAACACCGTATACTATTGCGAACTTACAGAAATGAATCCTTGGGTCCGTCTAACAATTAGCGGAAGATGTTTTCCCTTACAATGAAGCTTCAGTTTCCCATACTAAATGCATATCTATCTATGCATATCAAAAAGCAAAAAAAGAAAAAAAAGAAAAAAAAGACGGTAGTTCCAGCTTAAAAGTCAAATGAACATGATTCTATCCTTGGGAGTAAGATAGAATCATGGCTCGCGTGGGCAGGGTCGCATCCCTGAAGTAAATTCTTTATTCGTAAATGGTACCACCCATTACGAATAAAAAATTTACCCGCTACCCATTAAACCACTTCTGAAACAGAAATTTTTAATGAATATTAATACAATGTTATTTGCAATATAAGTAATTGGAGTATTTTATATTACCTTCCGAAATAGGAACGCAATCAAGTTGAAGACAGTTATCTGATAAATTGAAAAAATAAATTCATATTAAAATTATTTTCTATTCAAAGTATGTTAATAGGTATGTAACGGTAAAATTATGTATATGCGTTGAAACAATCTGAAAAATAATTAAAGTATATTAAAATAATGAAATAATTGTTAAATAATCGATAGAAGTATCGATTA